CCCCACCCCCCCCGATCCCCCCAGCTCCGGTTGTTCCCGGGGGTTTCAGTTTTGGGGTTCCCGAGCTCTGGGGCTGCCCCAACCCCCCAACACCCCACAGGGATCCCAAAACCCCCACAGGGACCCCAAAAACCCCACAGGGACCCCAAAAACCCCACAGGGACCCCCCAAAACCCCACAGGGACCCCAAAAATCCTCCAAAACCCCACAGGGACCCCAAAACCCCACAGGGACCCCAAAAAACCCACAGGGACCCCAAAAATCCCCCAAAACCCCACAGGGATCCCCCAAAACCCCACAGGGACCCCAAAAATCCCCCAAAACCCCACAGGGACCCCAAAAACCCCACAGGAACCCCAAAACCCCACAGGGACCCCAAAAACCCCACAGGGACCCCAAAACCCCACAGGGACCCCAAAAATCCCCCAAAACCCCAGAGGGACCCCAAAACCCCACAGGGACCCCAAAAATCCCCCAAAACCCCACAGGGACCCCAAAAACCCCACAGGGACCCCAAATCCCGGGTTTTGGGGTGCATTCCCGGGTTTTGGGGTGACATTCCCGGATTTTGGGGTGCATTCCCGGGTTTTGGGGTGAACCCCGGATTTTGGGGTGACATTCCCGCGTTCCCGCAGTGCTCCTGGACCCTGCGGATGAGAAGCTGCTGGAGGAGGAGATCCAGGCCCCCACCAGCTCCAAGAGGTGACACCCCAAAAACTGCCCTGGGGGGGTCCCCAAAATCTGCCCGGGGGGGTCCCTGAACCCCAAATCTGCCCTGGGGGTCCCCAAATGCCCCCTGGGGGTTCCCTAAGTCCCACCTGGGGGTCCCCAAATCCCCCCGGATGTCCCCAATCCCCCCTGGGGATCCCCAAATCCCCCCAGTGCCGTGTCCCCGGTGTCCCTGGTGTCCCCGGTGTCCCCAATCCCGGTGTCCCCAATCCCGGTGTCCCCGGTGTCCCCAGTCCGGTGTCCCCAATCCCGGTGTCCCCGGTGTCCCCAATCCCGCTGTCCCCAATGCGGTGTCCCCGCTGTCCCCGCTGTCCCCGCTGTCCCCGGTGTCCCCAATCCCCCCGGTGTCCCCAATCCCCCCGGTGTCCCCAATCCTGGTGTCCCTGCTGTCCTGGGTGTCCCCGGTGTCCCCAATGCGGTGTCCCCAGTATCCCCAATCCCGGTGTCCCCGGTGTCCCCAATCCTGGTGTCCCTGCTGTCCCCGGTGTCCCCAATCCCGGTGTCCCCAATGCGGTGTCCCTGGTGTCCCCAATCCCGCTGTCCCCGGTGTCCCTGGTGTCCCCAATGCAGTGTCCCCAATCCCGGTGTCCCCAGTTTGGTGTCCCCGGTGTCCCAGGTGTCCCCAATCCCCCCGGTGTCCCCAATGCGCTGTCCCCGGTGTCCCCAATCCCGGTGTCCCCAATGCGGTGTCCCCGGTGTCCCCGGTGTCCCCAATCCCGGTGTCCCCAATGCGGTGTCCCCGGTGTCCCCGGTGTCCCCAATCCCGGTGTCCCCAATGCGGTGTCCCCGGTGTCCCCGGTGTCCCC